CCCCCCGTACCCCTTTCAATGTTGCTTCCAATGAATGTGTGATTGTCATATGTTCCTAAGACAAAGGGAAGTAAGTTCCAATATGGATAAACTATGGATAAACTACAATAAAATCCATGTAAAAAGTGCGTCTTATGCACAATTTTGAGTAATATTTTGTTCCGCCTGTACATCAGGGTATTAATACCTTTCCTATAAAACTACAGTCACTGATCCCATGTCATGTACGCTGACCAGTTGAAAAGACATCAAAACAACAACAAAGACCTGTTTTTGAAGTTCGCGGGAATTAATTAATTCACTGATTTAATATTCCAGATACCAAGAATATCAAATGCTATCGGCATTGTAATTATATTTTGCAGGATATTAAATATTATCGCAAAACATTTAACATAAAATATCAAAAGACTTTGCTATGAATTTGATGTCTTTACATCTCTGTACTACTTTAACGGGATTGACTGCCATGTAAAACTACAAAACTACAATGTTATTTCCTATTCATTACGATATATAAAATGCAATGTCAATCAGTCTGTAATAAAATCAATAACTATACAGTCTGCTGTGAATAACTGGGTTCCATGCTTGGTCCGTAAGCGAGGACAAAATCCATCATCACAAGAGAAACAAGAAACGCTGTGCTAGTCTCTCCAGCAGCAAAATTTCAGACATGCTCCTATATCCTGAAACAAGAAATGTCCGATCTTAAAGATTTATATTACTTTACAACTGATATTAATGCCAATCACGCTTTCTGAATACTCCAGAAGAAGATGTAAAACGAGTTGGTGGGTTAAAAAAGGATACTCTGCGATCTTTTATCTCTATCGCATAACACTACTATAAATAGACACCTTGCAGTTCATTTGGATTCAGCTTCAACTTGAAGGGCAAAACAACTGATTCTTGTTCCCAAGAGGGCAGACATCGTTTGTTTTGTCCTCCAGGTGAAGATGTTTTTACGTCACATGCAAGGGGTCTATAAATCAAAACATCGTATTTTAAGATGAAACAACAAAATTATCAAGCAGTACCCAGTTCAGAACGGGCTACTGTTAAAAATTTAAAAGCACTAGTGTTTAAGTTAAGATGGAGTATTTTTACTGACATTCAGTATGCTGAAGGAATGGAGTCCTTCTTCATTCTATCTGATACCGGTTATTTTCATTTGTGGGTTACGCTCAAGTACAGCATGCTTACCATTGTATGTGAAGAGTGTTCCTGTCAGTCATTTGCCAAGACATGTTTAATTTCCTCTCTAGAAACGTCCCATCCGTGTGCAGTCACAGCTTTGAACACCTCTATCACGAGATTTGGAAATTCTTCCAGAAATACAGCATCGAGAATTTGTG